CACGTGCGAGAGCACGACACACACACACACACACACACACACACACACACACACACACACACACACACACACATATTCGTACAGTGACTCGTGGGCCATTGGCTCTGTCGTTTGTAGAACGGTTGTTGGCAGTGATGTAGCCGTTGGGCCGGAAGAACAGCTCTGGGCACCTCCAAAGCTGGTCTTTCTCCCCAACACAAGTTGGTCCAGTAAAAGATGTCACCTCTCCCGCCGTTTGTCTCGCTCATTGGCACAAAGGGGCAAATAAAGTATGGCAAGGTGCCTGCAATCTCCTCTCCCTCCACGGGGGGCTCCACTGCTGGTCGGTGCAAGCCCCCAAAGTAGGTGGTGCTGGCCAGGGAGTCATTGGGGAATGCCACCGGAGTGGCTGCTGGAGGATTTCCCCACTAGCAGAATCCCAGGGGACAGCAAGGAGATGCCACGTGCTCCTCCCTGGGCTAGTGGGTGAATGAATTTGGCCCAATAGTTTTACATTTCCAAAGTGATCAAGGCCCAGCCCCACCCGCTAACGTCCCCTCTTGTTCCCGCTGCCCGAGGTGGCTAGAGAAAGTGGCCTCCAGCCCACTAAAGCCAAACCGATCTGGTTGCAAAGGGCTCCTCTGTGTCTGCTGGCACCTCCCGCTGCGTCTCCTCCGTCTGGGTCTCTGGAGCAGCCCGGAGCAGGTTGTAACATGTCTTTGTGACTAGCCCCTGCAGCGTGTCCCAGGACATTGCCAGATACAGCACGCAGCCGGTGCACACCAATCCCCAGCCTTCCCCGCTTACTACAGGGAGGAGGGTGGCTGCAGCAACTCAGTGGAGAAGCTCTGCGGAAAAGGGGCAGGGCAGGGCTGCCAGGACTAGTCACGCGAGATGACTGATCCTGTGGAAGCTGTGAATAGAAGGGGGGAGGGCGGATAGCGGGGCTGGGGACTCAGGTGTGCTGCAGGGACACTGAACAAAGCCCTGGTTGTGCCCCAGAGCCCTCCCAGCTTCGTGGTTTAGCTCAGGAGGAGGAGGCCCCCTGGGAGCGTTCCTGGAGCAATTCTCTGTCTGCGCACTCTGACACCTGCGCTCTGTCGGGGATGTGACAGAACGTGGGTGTGTGTGCAACCGGATTATGTGCCTTCTCCTTGAACACCATCCATCTAGGGCCCTATCAAATTCACGGCCATGAAAAACGCATCCTGGACCCTGAAATCTGGTCCGTCCCTGTGACGGAGCAGGGAGCAGGGCAGATTTGACCTGGGAATGCTGCAGGGGGGTCGCCAG